TAAATGGTATTAAATTATTAAATATCACTGTTGGTGTCTGTGATTGAAAGAAGGAGCTGCTTTTGGATATGCTTCGTTACATGGGCATATGAAGTTGGTACGGAAATATGCTCTGTAATTGTACGAAAAATACTAGATAGAAATAAATTCTGAAATTTTATATTTAGATTGCAGATGGTATCTGTGTTTGAGATTTGGCAGTGATTTGGAAATGCTTTCGTATATTGTGTAAAAAAGTACTAAATGGTACTAAATTTGGTATATAGTGAAGGGATAGGGCTGGAATCCTTAAATTTGATATTGAGGTCTCTGTTAGAACTAAAATTTAATTATGGAGGTGGCTTGAAATCTGAGATTTGATTTATGGAGGTTGTTTTGGAAATGCGAACTGTAATTCTACGAAAACAATCTAAATAGCACCTAAATATGTTATGAGTTGAAGGGATAGAGACACAATTCTGAAATTTGATGTTAGGCTGCCAATGGCATCTGTTTTTGATATTTGGTATTACATTTGGTATTAGGTGAAGGATTAGGGGCTGGAATCCTTAATTTTATATTGAGGTCTCTGTTAGTATCTGCAATTGTGATATGGAGGTGGTTTTGAAGATGTATACTGTAATTTTACGAAAAGTATTAAATAGTACTAAATTGTGAACGATTGTAGCTGAAAATCCTGAAATTTGATAAGAATGTCACTGTAGGTGTCTGTGGTTGAGAGAAGGAGCTAGTTTTGGATATGCGTACTATAATTGTACTGAATGGTACTTAATTTGGTAATGGGGGAAGTTACAGAGCTGTGTTGGTGATTTTTATTCTTATGACAACAGGTACAACATTGGCGTTGAGAGAAAAAGTTTGATAGATATGAGGCCAACAAAAGGATTATTTTGACATTAAGAAGTGAAATCTTTGGGGGCCCAAAGCCATTAAAGTGCAATATGAAGCGAATAAAACAGTAGTTACATTTTGAAAGCAACACTTTTAAAAACAATTGCTTTTAGGCTTTTGCAATGCAGCTTTAAAACCCTCAAATACCAATTATAGGGAAGTATCGTTATATGGGCACTATAAGAAACTTTTCTGCCAGTAGAAGTAATGTAATTACTCCAAATACCAAATTGTACACAATTACGTTAGAAAATGTTTCTAAAATCGTTAAAATTCGGAATATCGGGAGGTGCCGTGATATGAAATTTAGACCTATATAGTCTGCCGAAGAGCTTTAACTATCAAACTTCAACCATTTCCCCTGGAAAATGTGTGGGCTGTAGACAGTTATAGCCCACATTGATTTGTTTGAAGACCAAAGGTAGCTCGGTGTGAAATCTTAGCTTAATATTACAAGTCGGTGGGACTTTAGCGTGATTAAAACTGGCGAATAGATATGCCTACATAAGCTTAAAATTTTACGTACGGGTCCTACACCACATAGTGGTAAGGATATTATGACTAGAGATAGACCCCTAGTTACTTTTAAGGATCTTCATAGAATCCGTTTCTGATTCGATTTATGTATGTTAGTCCGTTTGTACGTCCATGTATTCTTGTAAACAAAATGCAGGTCCAATTGAGTTAAAATTTTCCAAACAATATTTGTTTGGCCTAAGGACGAACCCTATTGAATTGATGAGAATCGACTCAAATTTAGATATAGCTTCCATATATATCTTAATTGATTTCGGGCTAATTGTGCACCAAATGGCCAATATCAATCCAAATAACCTGAATTTTGGCACATTCGACCGAATTCAGTCTAAAAGTATGTACATAAAATTTGTCAGTTAAAGTTATAGCTCCCATATAAATGTTTCATCCGATTCCACAAGTATGATATTGGTACCAGATAACTTATGAAGCTTAAAAATACCTCTGTCAAGTTTTATCGAGATCGGATCGGATTAGCATATAGCTCCCATATATATAACTTTATCCGATTTCAGTTTTTGTGCATCAATGGCTAACATCAGTCCAAATGGGCTGAATTTCTGGCACTTTCGACGGAATTCAGCCTAAAGGCAAGTGCTTAAATTTTAGTAAAAATCGGTTCAGATATAGATTTATTTACAAACTACGCATCGTGGTGTGGGGTATCATATAGTCGGCCCGACTTTAATCTTTCCTTACTGTTTATGAATACAGAATTGACAATTTAGTCTCAGAACGGATGTTAATTTAGAAAAATATTGTTAGAATATTATTCTTATCCAAACAGATGTAAATGCAAAGGTCCCTAAGGTTTCCCCTTAAATGTCCACCCTGTACAGGAGGAATTAATCTCTACTAGCTATAGCTAATTCTCTATTTTTAGAATTTCTTTAAAACATGACTAATGTTTACATATACATTTGCAGCATTATGAGTGTTCAAGTGAAATTTACATTAATGAGTTTGCAATTTTACACACCGTATGTTGTTAATGCTAATTTTAATTTGAATTCCCTTTAAAATGTACACGGAAATTACAAAGGATGGAAAACGAGGGATGGATGACGCTTTACTGAGATAATCTCCATTATGTGAATTAATCCGTTGGAAAATTTCACTTTCTTTCAGGGGCGTTTGAACTATTAAAATTGAATTTGCCTGCAAAAAGATTATGTAAAAAGTACATGTTTTCCCTATGTCTTATAGAGAAAAAGTTAGGTCTTTTATCCACAATCATGGAAATAAAGCAGAAAAATTAAATATAATATAAATATGCTAAAGTGTGTGAACAGAAAGCTCTGATAAATATGACCAGCCTGGTGGTTCCCTTAAAGAAATCACCTAATGTTCCCCAATTTTTTTGAATCGCTTTTGTCATTCGATTTTGTGTTAATAAACACCATTTTCCTGCAATTCATTAATTTTCACATGCAATTAGTTGAGTTTTTTGTTGTACACAGTCAGTGCACAATAAAACACAAAACAATACATCAATTCCAAATTAATTATATCCTTCAAAATTTTTATTCAATTAATTGTAAATTGATTGTCAGGTGTGCGGCGGAAAAATCGGTAGCAATTTTCATTTCGGTTAAAAAAAAAAAACGAAACAAAATTAATACAACAACAACAATAAGCTAGGGATATTAGCATGACATATTGTAATAAAAAATACACACTCACTCATACACCAACAAAAGCAACAATAATATTGCGGTCAAATAGTGCCAAAGGCACAATTCTATTAAAAAGGGGCAATTAACTGGAAACAAAATAACCAGTTGTTGGAGATAATTAATTTTCCCTTTTTAATTTTTAGGTTGGGGTTGAGAGGTTAGAAACCTCAAACAATTGTGTGAATTTAAATTAATGGAAATAAATGAAATGCAGATAGATATATTTTTTAAATTCGATATGATTTTTAAATTCGATATGAATTCAAGTATCTTTCAAGAATCTACGTAAAGTATATAAAAATAATTTAACTTCCTTGGATGATATTTTACTTAGATTCCCACCGTTCATGTACAGAGTTTCTTTAATTCGTATATTGTAAGTCGGCGGAATCGAAAGAATTTGGCCTATAACTGTGATTATAATGTCTAATTTCCGATTAAATGCGTTTTTTTTGGCTCAACTTAATTTGCAGAGAATTATCGGAGATATCCCAAAGTGGACCCGACCTAAGGCTCGTGAGCTGAACATATCGCAATATTCCATTCGGAAAATATTAAAAAATGAGCTTACCCTGAGCCATTGAAATTCTAAAAAGACCTAAAGAGTTGCTACGCTTGTCCGAAAGTGGTAAACTGCCGAATTTGGTTTTCACCGATGAGAAAACATTCGTTGTCCAGCAGTTTGTAAATAAACAAAATGATCGTGTTTACTTGCCAAAGAGGCCAGATGAAAATGTTGGTCGCGAATATTATCGCGAAAATATGCTGGAGGATGTATTAAAGCCTTGGGCATGCAATCATTTTGACCGCAGACCTTCGAAATTCCAACAGGACTCAGCACGCGCCACCCAAGAATGGTTTCAAAATGAGGTTCCTCGCTTCATTTCCAGCGCACAATGGCCACCAAAATCTCCGGATACCAATCCGTTGGACTATTGTGTCTGGAGTATTTTGGAAAGCAAGGTTGGTACTAAAAAATACCAAAGTGTCGATCACCTCAAGCTACGCCCGGAATTTTTCATTGGCCGTTTGAAGGCCATAATTCTTGCCAAAGGTGACCAATTCGAAAAAATCTAAATTTATTCAAAAATTTGATGGTATTTCCGAAATTTCTTGCTATCATTCAATAAGATCTGCACCCTGTACTGCAATGAGTGCCTCAAGTCTCGCCAAAATCATAAAGAAAGAATTCAACTTTCTCTGCTTTGGTTTGCCAAATGTGGCTTTAATCTTTAACTAAAGAGGTGGTGGTAAAATTTGTCCTCCCTTCACATTTTCTTGAAATTCTCTCTTCTATTCATCGCAATAGGAAAAAGTTTTTTTTTTTAATGAAAAAAATCTGTTTTTACTATTGTAATTTAAAATATATAAACTTATACTTATAAAACAAATAATTATCAAAAAATATTTTTAAATTTTTTTTTTTTTTTAATTTAGAGGGGTAAAATTTACCATCATGTTACCAGTTAAAGGTAAAAAAAAGAGAATATTTGAAGCGCTAAAGTAATTTTTTTTTTTGTATTCGGGTTTTTGATTTTAGTCATGGCTTGCGACCTCTGTGCTATGGTGGACATTAGTTGTTCCTCTATTCTTTCACTTCCTCTCCATCTTAATCTTTCAAAATTTGGAATTACAGAAACACTTTTTGGTGGACTATTATTCGCCCTCATGTTTTAAAATTTAAGAATAAAACATACTACCTTAAATATCGTAAGCTCAGTCGACAACAGCACGTCTCTTTTTGCAAACTTTAAATGTTAATAAGATCCGTACCAAATTTGATCTCAATCGGAAAAAATATTACATTAACCTTGACCACAGTGTGGTGTTAATGCCTTTTAAAATAAGGTTAGTGTTGCGCATTAGTTTTGCTCATTTATACCCAACAAATTTACATATACAGCGTAAATTTTACATTTTCTCAATATAAAACAAAAACAAATCACTCACCTTAGGAGAAGGTACTACCGAGAAGGTATTCATAATTCTATCTGGGTATTCTTCACGAATTTTCGAAATCAATAGAGTACCCAAGCCAGAACCGGTACCACCGCCCAAAGAATGGGCCAATTGGAAGCCTTGAAGGCAGTCACAACCCTCCGATTCCTTGCGAACTACATCCAAGACGCTTTCAATCAATTCAGCACCTTCGGTGTAGTGGCCTTTGGCCCAGTTGTTACCTTAATTGAAAATAAGTAATGAATTTATGAAAATCGAAAAAATCACAAATTAATCCTACCGGCTCCAGATTGGCCAAACACAAAGTTATCAGGTCTAAACAATTGACCATAGGGCGATTGGCGTACCGAATCCATGGTACCAGGTTCCAAATCGATCAAAACGGCACGTGGCACATATTTGTTGCCGTTGACTTCGTTGTAGTAAACGTTGACACGTTCCAGCTGCATGTCGTTTTCGCCATAGTAATTGCCATTGGGATCAATGCCATGTTCGTCGGAGATGACTTCCCAGAACTGAAAATGAAAGAGAATAACAAGGGATTAGATTAAATTTTTAAAACAAAACAATGTTTAAAATTTTTAAACAACTAAAAAAGCTGTAAGTTCGGCAGGGCCGAACTTTGAATACTCTCCACCATATGGAACGAATTTGGCAATTCTCAAAAACAATAAAATCCGTTTAAAATTCTGTGGACCTGCATAGACAATTTTCTGTCTGAGGCTGTAGTATCCATTATGAACTATAAATACCAAATTTAAAACAATTTCGGTGAATAATGTCGCTAAAATCATCAAAATACCGAATATCCGGAGGTACCGTTATATGGGGACTATACCAAAAAGTGGACCTACATGGCCCATTTTCAATACCAATGGAGAAATATACATTAGAGTAAAATTTTATCAATCTACTTCAATTCGTTCGGAAGCTAGAGTGATTTCCACAGACGGACGGACATCGCTAAATCGACATAGAATTTTTTGCTGATCAAGAATAGATATACTTCGTAGGGTCTAAAATGTATATTTCGAGGTGTTACAAACGGAATGACAAATTTAATATATTGTGGAGGGTATAAAAATGGGTATATTTTGTCATAACAAAATATTAGGGATCTCTTGTATTAGTCCTCCTATAAATTGCCTCGGCGTTTCAAGAAAATTAAGAACTTTCCCAATTATTAATCAATTTTTTAATGAATTATTTTCCCTTTTTTGTGTGAAAAGGTCAGCTGGCTAATTACCTGTCAATCAACGATTATCCACGGTTACAAATTGTTTAGGGCATTATACATAGATACTCTATGTAGCACAAACAGTCTTCACATAGAATAATCATATTTCAATTAGATCAAAGTTACTTTGAGTAACACAACAATAACAACAACAACATAGTCATACATTTTAATCAAGAGCATGGCTGGCTCACCGCCAGCAAGCCTACCTCTGGCATTGTCAAAAACCTTCAAAACCGAACACATTTTTTGACGGATATTTAACAAAGTAGCCGACCAAATGTTTTTCTGCCTCATAATGCTGTTACCTTAGAGCGTTATATTTTTTTTTCCATTTGTTTTTATAAAATTTACAAAGCAAAGCATTTTCGTTTCGTTGCATAGTTGACCGCATTATATATTCAGTTTAACTTTACTTATATCCACTTCGTCCTGTTTTTTTTTTCAATTTTGGCAAAAATTTTAATTGTGGGAATTGTACAGCATGTGCATGTTGTGTTCATGACATGAACACAAAGCAATGAAATAGTATTTAGGTGTAAGTTTTAGATTTTGGTCAATTTGGAAGGAAAAAGTGGTCGGATTTTTAGCGATCTTTTGAACCGAAGAAGTCATTGGGGATTGCTTTTGGTTTGGTTTCTACTAACATCGAAATAGTGCCCATAGATATGTTTTAGTTTTTATAAGCCAAAGCTTATGATATTTTTCTGATTGATAGATTTAATGTGTAGACATTTCTTTTGTCCTGAGACTCAAATTTTATCAAAAAAAAAAAAAAAAAAAAAAAAAAAAAAAAAAAAATCAGAAAAAACAAGTATTAAAGTAGTTTTTGATTCAGATTGGATACGTATTAAACTGATGGTAAAAACCTGAACAAAGTTATTTTCAAAAAAAAAAAAAAAAAAAAAAAAAAATCTAATATAACTAGCCTACAGGAAGGCAGCGTTAGAGGAATAGTAGTGATTGCAGTCGATTAATGGATAAAAGTTGGATGCTTTCCTATTTTTTTAATTGTGGCCAGCGGTACTGTTATTATTTGGAAACAATTGCAGCATTTAATGCCTAAATCGAGGCGGATTTCTTTCAGCTACACTAAGGGACCTTTTGAACACAAAAAGTGTTTTATTTAAAGGCGTTTAGGGTATTCGTTATTGAAGAGCACACTATTTTCTGAAATAACACTAAAAAACTACAAATAAGGTTCAAGAAAATTCTTATAGAAGACAGGAGGTCGGGCATAGAGGTTTCTGGTCAGTAGGTCCTCAGATAGAAGTGGACCTTTGGATATTTTTTTAATAATACAAGACAAATATTGAAGGCCCAAGGAGAAGAAAAATTAACATATATCAGAACATTTGACATAACAGGGTGAGATAACAAAACTGCAACGAAGTCGAACGCCTTAAGTTTTATATATTTTTTTTTCAAAAAGGTCAGGCTTAATCCCATTATTGTTGTTTTTATAAAAACAACGTTTGTTTTTAGTGGAGAACGATGGTCATATTTACTAGGGGGTAAGGCAGGTAATACCTAGGTTTCGGAAAGACTAATCCACCAATCCTCATCAGTTCCCTTGTTTTATGTCTGGGATATTCTCCCCAGAAGAACTCATGAGGAGTGGTATCTATTTCCAAAACCCAGGTATTTCCTGCCTTACCCCCTGGTAAACATGAGTATCGTTCTCCACTAATAAATAAAGGTTGTTTTTATAAAAACAACAATAATGGGATTAAGCCTGACCTTTTTGCAATAACAAAATGTAAAAATTATTGAATGAATGAAAAAAATCAAATTTTAGAATAAGTTTAGATTTGTTCGAATTGGTCACCTTTGGTACGAATTATGGAACTTCCAATCATCACACCCTGCCCGAATGTTGCTCTGCGGTATTTTGGCCAATTTCCGGCGAAGCGCTTGCTTGAGATGATCGACACTTTGGTATTTTTTAGTGCCAACCTTGCTTTCCAAAATACCCCAAAAACAATAGTCCAATGAATTGGTAACAGCTGACCTCTTTGGCAATAAAACACGATCATTTTGTTTGTTTTCAAACTGCTGGACAACGAATGTTTCTCATCGGAGAAACCCAAATTCGGCAGTTCACCACTTTCGGCCAAGCGAAGCAACTCTTTAGCTCTTTTGAGTCCATTTTTTTTTCTGTTGCGGTGTAAGTTCTTGCACTTTTTGGAATTTCAATGGCTTTACCCCGAGTTCATTTTTCAATATTTTCCGAATATTGCGATATATTCAGCTCACGAGCCATTTTTCGGCCACTGCGAGACGGGATTCGAAATGACAGCAGTCTGAAGTTGGTTGCAGTTTTTTTCATCTCAACCTGTATCAGCATAAAATTCTAAGTCGATTTTATCACTATACGTCCCACATTATTTGACGTAGAGCTTCAAAATTTGGCACAATAGTTTGTATTGTGTCTAGGATGGTTGGTGTGGAAAATGAGATATACAGGTCCACGTTTTGGGATAGCCTCCTTATAATTATCTTCCGATATTTGATGTTCTAATGATTTAGCCACATTTTAACACCGATTTGTCTAAAAGTTGGTATTTGTAGTTCGTTATGGGTTCTAGCTCATGTGGCGGTACATTGTATATATAAGTCCACGTTTTCTTATAGCCCCCATGTACTTCCCGATATTCGGTATTATTGTGATTTTGGTAACATTTTTCCACGGGTTTGTCAAAAAAATTGTATTTGTTGTTGGTAATGGGTTCCAGACATTTATATATAGGTCCAAGTTTTCTTATAGTCCCCATATGTTTGGTATTTTGATGATGATTGCTACATTTTTCGACGGGTTTGTCTAGAAAAAGGTATTTGTGGTTCGTTATGGGTTCTAGCTTCGATTGAGAAATATTGTACGTATAGGTCACGTTTACGTATATCCCCCGTATAACGGCATTTTAACTGTTTTTGCCACATTTTTCCACGCATTTGTCTAAAAATTGGTATTTGTAGTTCGTAATGGGTTCTAGCTCCGGTGGCAAAACAAAATATCTTCGGATATTCGGCATTTTCACATTTTCTTATATATTTATGTAAAATTTAATATTTGTACTTCAAAATGGGTTATACAACAAGTGCCAAAACACCGGCTATATTGATCAACGGTTCGGTATTTCTATTTGTAAATATAAACGTGGGTAAATGTGACTACCCACGAAATCATATCAAATTTGGTATTTAAGACTCGCAATAGATTACAATATTTGTAGTATAAAATTGTCTATATAGGTTCTGGTATGGCCTCCATATAACGGCTCAAACCACTATATTGTTTTTGAAAACTCTAACAGCATTCTCCTACCGATTTTACTGAAGTTTACGTTTTAATCGAGATACTTTTCTATAAAAATGTTTACTTTACCTAATGGTGGAGGGTCTTTTTACTTGTTTTATACAAATCCTGGGCACGAATATATCCATTTTCACACTAGCTCCAATGTACACAAATACATTGGAATATGAAAACTTTTAAGAAAATCGGAAGTTGGTTTCAAAAATTTTACCTTTTCTGGGGAGGTAAAGAAATGAGAGAACCAATATTGTCCATGTTATCCATTTTAATTTTGAGGGAGGTAACCGGAGGTTTTGACCGATATATTCGATTTTTATAATTGCTTTAATATAGGCAATTTCATTCGGATTTGCTTTGTTTGGTGAAAACCGGACACTGATATCACATTTTACGGGAGTTATTAAAATTTAAAAAAATTTACTCTTTATGAGGGAGTTACTAGAAAGATTGAACCAAATTTGAACTGACGTAACCGACCTAAGTCTATGCTAAATTTTGAGATGTGATTAGTTGAACTACATCAGGGATTCACCTCGTCATTATATGACGTTGATGCTTTACATGATTAATTTTAAACTTTTGTGCGGAAGCTACCAAATGAAGTGGACCAATATTGAAGGGGTTGTATATGAAACGGCAACACTGCTTTTGGACAGCATGTACCCTAACTCTTACCTCAATGAGGGTTACGCTGCAAAACGGCAACATAAACTGTATCCAAATTCAAAGCTGCAAATCCTAAATGTTATAAAAGTGAGAGATTTTTTTTCGTTTTGGGATCACTGACTGATTGAATGGCTTTGCCAATACATCTAGACAATATATACAGTTTAATTGAAATTTTATGTGAAACATACATATGTATGTATAAATGTACATAACCTCCATTAGCCGACAAAACAACAACAAAATAAAAATTGCATTGATTTTGTATGATTTTATGCATGAATAAATTAAAATGA